ACTTCATTTATGATATCAATGGGTCATACATATAAGTCTAATCACTTTGGATAGTCACATGTTTAAGCATCTTTTAAACATCATTATGAACACATATAACATTTACTTAGGTAATCTCATAATTAACCCAAGAGTTATAAGACATTAAGCCGTCCACTCACCTCAAATGAGCGTGATGAAGTTCTACCCTTCTCGGTTGAACTCCGGCCAAACTCCGGTGAACTTTGACGAACTCCGGCGATAACTCCGGCGACCCTTTAAACTTCGTGAAGGCTTTTAAATCACCTTTGATAAGTTCCTAACAAGGTTTTATCATCACAAAACCCAAATTAATACAAATAACCTCTAAAAGGTTATTTTCCGGCTAACCGGTCGTTTTGGCTCCTAAGTCCGTTCTTGGACATAGAATCACTTCTCAACCCTTATTTCTACATTTATAGATATGTAGAGCTATTAAAAGGGTTCCTTACATGCTATGTAAGTCATATGAGCATCAAATGGAAGGAGAAAGGTTGTTATAAGGTCATTACCTTAATCTTTCACCCTTTTCTTCACTTTCCTTCACTCCAAGCATCTCTTTTGCTTCTCTTCTTGCTTGAGCTCGATTTTGGGGATGGTGGTGGGTGTTTTGCAGCTCACTCTCTCCCTCTTGGTGTGTCTTGGCCGAAGTGATCACATGGGGTGAGAGGAAGTTGCCTCTTTTGACTTATTCTACAATAAGGGTGAGGGAATAGGCCCTCCCATGTCTCCTCTTGATGCCTATCAACTCAAACCCCCCCCCCCCCTCCTACTAACTTCCCATCCTCATTCATACGAATCCCCTTGACAATTTGTCGTCTAATTTCGTGGGTTGGCCCCCACTCATGTGGGAGGTCAACCCTTTTTGTCCAAAAGTGTACAATCGGTCCCGAAAGTTGTATTTCTCGGACTGTTTTAACTATACTTTATTTTATCGGGTCAAATAAAATATATAGTATGTTTTCAATCATTACGGGCCTTCATAATGAGTGTACTCCCCCAACTCTAATTTGGAAGTCTCCGAAATTCATTTCGGACTGTTACCCGATAAATTACCCAAAACTGGTAATTGGGCCTCGTTTGACCAATCGGTCAACCCAATGCCTTCCTCATGGCCCAAAATGAATGTCCACCACCATATAACTATTATCTATACCAAGATGAATAAAATATGTGGTCTCGGGAATATCGGGTGGTCCCCGCTCCCGGTGTGGGCCCCACGTGCAAATTTACTATTCACGCACAAGAATTAACAAAAATTTACAACCTTGTAAATTCATTAACCATTTCATAAGGTTCAATACATAATTTACATAAAGGTAAATATACTTGGGGACGGTGTTACATATAATCTTCAATATTGTTCTTTTACTACCAAAATTATTATAATTAAGATTAAACAAATCACAACCATTACAAAATAATTATTATTTCTATAATAAATATTCAAATAAAATGTTGAAACATATATTTTATGTAAAGTTTGATACACTATTTAGCAATTAGTAGTCATGATTTACAAATAATCATTCAAAAAGTTAAATAGATCTTTACTATTACACAATGAGTATTATTGTTACATATCATCTTATAGTTTTCAAATTCTCGTATAACTAGTATTCAATATTTTTTAATTAAACTTAACAAGTATTGGGCTCTTAGTATTTTGATTTCTTATATTTCCCTTATTACTACTTACTACGGAGTAGAATAATCTAAATATATATTCTAGGATAATTATTCTTAAAGAATCTTTTGTCATATACTTTGTATTTTCTTTACATTGGCCCGCGACTCAACCCGTTTAACCCACAAGTTAAGTGGGTTGGATTAGGGTTGTAGAAATTATGACCCATCCCTAAACGGGTTGACCGACCCAACCCACATAAAGCATAATCCGTTACGGGTCGGGTCAGGTTGGATCGGGTTGGCCCATTTCACAGCTTTAGTCATGGGAAGAGAAAGAAGAGTAAAAAATACAGTTATTATAAAGGAGTATAGGAGTACTAATAGAAAAAATTCCAGTTTTGGTCCCATGACTATTATACCACTTCCACATTTCGTCCCTCACTATCAATTTGTCCACATTCAGTCCGTGACCATCATCCCCTCACCACCTGTGGTCCTTCCGGTCAAAACTCCAACTGAAATTAATTAAACCACTTAAAGGGGAGGGTAGTTGAGTCATTTAATATCATTTAAAGTCCTTGTACCTAACTCCCTCCCTCTTCGTCGCCTTTAACATAACAACGAACCCAGGTCTGAAAAATTGGAAGTGCATTGAACCCTAATCTCTAATTCTTTGAAACATGTCTACTGCTAAATCTGGAAGCTCAAATTCCGGAGGTCAATACGAATATGGCGAGTGGATTCCAGTCACCTATTGCGAATGTGGCCAACAATTAAAGCTTTTGACAACATGGAAAGCAGAGAACAGTGGGAGAAGATTTTGGGAATGCATTGGAAATGAGGTTAGGGTTGTTCGAGTTCAATTGTAGTATTTGTATATGTTTTTCCCTTTTAATTCTGAATTGATGGTTGATTTTGGGATGTTTACATTGTGTTAATGCAACCATGTAAAGGGTGTGGTATGATGGAGTGGTTTGACACTCCAATGTGCAAGAGGTCTCAAAAAATAATTCCAGGGCTGTTAAAAAAGATGAATGGGTATGAGTAAAAAATTCGTACATTGGAGATGAAGCTTGAAACATTAGAGATTGAATGGTTCAAACCAAAGAAGAAGAGGAAGAAATGTAGTGAATGTAGTAGGGCATTGGTTTGATATGTGTATATATACACACACACTTATGATACTAATGTATCATATATGTTTATGATACCAGAGTGTCAAAAAAAGTTATGATATTATAACGTCGTAATTTTATGTAATATTTTATTGTCATAATTTTGTGACACTAATGTGTTTAGCAATTAGTGACACTAAATATAGTGTCACTTGCCCCGCTTGTCTGTGACACTTTCAGTGTGTCATTAAATCGTTTAGTGACACTATTTTAATGTTACTATAAGCCATTTTTTTACTAGTGCTTGAACTGTGCCTCCCAAGTATGAAGGTCTTTCCATAGCATTCACTCTTCCCCCATAATATAACTTTAGAGTAAATGTTCTTCCAGAGGTGGTTGAATCTGTTTTAAACAAATTAATATGGTAGGTCAATCATCTTATGCGGATCCCACAAGCACAAATAACATATTCATATTTACATTTAAAAAAAACATTAAAGCATAGAAGCCCAAGCACACATGACACAACCCCTTGCGTAAAGATTAATCAATATGGTCCCATTTCTGAAATGTAAAAACATAAAGGGACAAGAGAATCTCAATCAAATAAAGTAAATGGCTACCCTACCATGTGAATGTGAAGACATAAAGGGAAAATGCAACCTTAGCAATACAAGTGTGACATGTGTACGCAAATGAGATGTAAAGACCGGTTCAACCATTTCACACCTAAATTTATTCTATAAAGTACACACAAGTTCAGCCTCTTACCTTTACCAGAAACATTTGAGGCCGAATGGTGTTCACTGCTTGTTCCTTCTCCACCGTCCCTACCACGGTGCATTCCAATTGTAAAGAATCCCGGAGGTCGTTTCCTAATTTCATAAGTGTCTAGGGCTTCTTCAGGTTGGAGGGAGAAATATTCAGATGGCTTCTTCACTTCAACGCATCTATTCAGAGGAGAAATGGTAATTAGGGTAGGTTGGAGTCAGATTGTAAATTAATTTAGCAATAAGTCATATTAAGGGACCTAAAGTTACTAAACTACCCTTCACACGTGTCATTAAAATTCTGACCGGTTAAATTCAGCCGGAGTTTTGACCGGAAGGACCACGGGTGGTGAGGGGAAGATGGTCGCGAACTGAATGTGGACAAATTGATAGTGAGGGACGAAGTGTGGAAGTGGTATAATAGTCATGGGATCAAAAGTGGAATTTTTTCGTACTAATAATAGTAATAATAAATGATACGAAGAATTAACAACTCATGGTGTACAACCGCACATCACACAAATGTAGAGGCTGTTTGGCAACACTGTTTTTCGGCTTATCAGCCAACTTTTTCACCAAACACATAATTTTTGCTTTCGCGCACTGAATTGTGTAATAAGCAGAAAAAGTAAGGTTGGAGTTACTTTTCTGGCTGTATTGGCTGAAGTAAGTGTAGATGATCATTTTAGTTATTTTTACATATGATTTTTTCTTTATTTTATTAATAAAATATATTTTAAAAATAATTTTTTCTTAAATCAGCAGAATCAGCCACTGCATCCATTTCAGCCAGAACTTCATAAATTTCAGCATAATCAACCATAACAGCCGATTTTCGTGCTACCAAACGGCCACGTAGTCTTTGTCTCAAAATTGATAGATTGCTGAAGTAGCAGAGGAGATAGTCACCAGTGAACGAATGACACCAACCGTGATAAAATTAAAGGTATATACTCCCTCCGTCCCTTATAACTTTGCCAACTTTCCTTTTTTTGGATGTCCCATTAACTTTGCCACTTTCCCTTTTAAGTAAAGAATTTGTGGTTCAAGTTAATTCTCTCTCTTCTGCACAAACCTCAACCACACAGTTTTTACTTTATTAATCCTCGTGCCGGTCAAACTTGGCAAAATTATTAGGGACGGAGGGAGTACGTAGTATGAAAGAAGGGTTATTCCGATAAACCCAATCGCATGGATGTGTTATTTCGTGTGTTCATAGGCTTGCGACTGAGACAAAGATCAGAGAAAAATTGGTTGTATGGTTTTTAGGTTATGGCTTTTGAGTTTTGATTCGGTTCAATGGCTGCAAGCAGATCTTTATTTGGTGAGGTCGATGCGCCTGAGAGAGAGAGTGAAAAGTTGGTTGTGTGGTTTATTAGATTGGTAGTCAATATAATACTCCATATTAGCTGGCTACTCTCAAATGAAAAGATTAGAGAAAGCTAGATGCTGATAACGTATAGGAAGTGTATGTCTTCATCTCACGTAAATGCTCCCACTAAATATGGATAGTTAAGATTTACAATGTATGTGCCTCAAGAGCTCATTAATGATGTTCTCTTTTGGACTGTTTTCAGTTTGAGATCAGATCAAACTATACTTTCATATTGTTATAAAATACACAAAGATCAGACATCTACCATATTAATTCAGACCAGACCAAATCAGACTAAACCAACAAATTTCAGTCCAAAAGAAAACATCCTAACTTATATACCTTAAATTCACACATATTTTATCCATAATGATACTACACCGCGTAATTTCGTTTAACATGCCAGAAAAACCCCTAATTGGCAACTTTTTTTCCATCATCCCGGGCACGAGTGATTTCGAGATTTGTGTTCGTTTTCCCGACCCGAGATCAGATCATCTGGATAGTGTCCTTCTCACGGGTCCCGCCATTCCTGTCCTTGTTCCTCACACCTTCCTCTCCCCGGCGGCTAACGCCATCCACTCATATAAACCTCTCAGCCACAGAGTGTTAGTTCTCTAATAATGCAACAAATTTTATCTCCCATTAACAAATAATTTCTCCACGTGTTTCAGATGGCACTGGTAAGAGACCGCCGCCACATCAAACTCAGCCTCCCCATGCCGGAACCCTCCGACCGCCGGTGTCGCCTCCCCAAACCTCTCCCTCACTCTTCGGTGTCTACCTCAACCGCAGCGTCCTGGTCGATACTGGACTTCGACAAGCTCCAAGTACTCGGCCATGGCAACGGGGGCACGGTGTACCAGGTGCGGCACAGGCGGACGATGACGGTGAACGCCATGAAGGTTGTGCACGGCAACAGTGACCCCGCCGTCCGCCGCCAGATCCTCCGCGAGATTTCGATCCTGCGCTGCACGGACTCGCCACAAGTGGTCAAGTGCTACGGGACAGTCGAGACGCCCGGCGGCGACATCGCGATTCTGATGGAGTACATGGACGGCGGATCCCTAGAAAGTGTCCTGAAATCGGAGAAATCATTGGCCGAGTCCGCCCTCGCGAAAATCGCGAAGCAGGTACTCATCGGCCTCGATTACCTCCACTCGCACAAAATCGTTCACCGGGATCTGAAGCCCTCAAATCTGCTGGTGAATCGGGACGGCGACGTGAAAATCGCAGATTTCGGGGTGAGCAAAATGATGCGCCGGACGCTGGACCCCTGCAACTCCTACGTGGGCACCTGCGCTTACATGAGCCCGGAGAGGTTCGACCCGGAGACCTACGGCGCAAACTACGACGCGTACGCCGGGGACATCTGGAGCTTGGGGCTGACTCTGATGGAGCTGTACACGGGCCACTTTCCCCTGCTGCCGCCTGAGCAGAGACCCGATTGGGCCACGCTGATGTGCTCTATATGCTTTGGGGAGCCCCCGAGTTTGCCGGAGGGAGCTTCCGGTGAGTTCAGAGATTTCATGAATCGGTGCTTGCACAAGGAGTGGAGTCAACGGTGGAACGCACAGCAGTTGTTGCAACATCCGTTCGTGCGGGATATATAGTGAATTGAAGTATTGAACTGCAGACAGAACAGAAATGTCTTATCTACTAAAATTTGTACAGAACGGGATCCTTTCCAATATTTTCTAATGAAAATATATACAATTCGCACATCTAATTAAGGGATGTTTAGAACGAATAGTCAGCTTCTTTTTTAAAGCAAAAGTAGAATCATAATCATTTTTCAGAATCTGGTCACCCCCAGCTTCTAAAAAACTGATTCTATGAGTAAATTTGAGTACCAGAATCACTTTTGCACTTTCATCCAAACACTACACTTTCTGCTTTTGCTCCTTGAAGGAGCAGAAGCAGTTTTAAGAATCATATCCAAACACCCCCTTAAACAGAAAAAAATAGTAATTGTTTATTTACATAAGACATAAGCGAATATAAAATTTACATAAAATGTGTAGACATGCATCTCGTTCAAAAAAACATCAATTGTCCGTAAAGACAAGAAAATGTATCAAGTGTGTTCAAATTATGTCTATATGAAGAATGATTTTTATCTGATTTTCTCATTCATTAGTACTTTATATATCGGAAAATTGGTTGTAGATAGGACTAAAAAAGACAGAATGTGCATCCGTAGGACTCCAAATAATATTAAATCTAAATACGACTAAATTTTTGTGCTTTTCCTATTCTACCCTTAATGACTTGTCCGCACCAGTCAATTCCCCCAACTCCTAACCCTCTTTCCCGAGCAGCGGACCGCAAACTCCATTGATGAAGGTGAGATGGTGACACACGATGACCACTGTTGCTACGGCAAATCTGGCCGATGCCACCAGGATGCCAATCTTTTATCAAAATACATGAAATTTTTAATGAATAAGAATGCCTTTTGATGGCATTTTCCAAAAAAATTGGCAATTGTAACAACCAAATATTATTTACTCGAGCCATTAGAATCCCCCAGAAGCTCAAACAAACCACCTCAGTTTGATTTCAACCATCATTGCCAAATTCAGAGCAATTAAAAAAAGATGAGGAAGAAGAAGCAAAGAGACAACAGAGATGGAGTATGTTGCAGGGCTTGGCACCACCGTCACCACACCGGATTCAGACAAGAAAATTTTGAAGAAATAGAGTGCGCGGAAGAGGCTGTTGCTGCTCTCCGGTGTGGCTGCTGCTGCTCGCCGACGTTATTTGCAGTTGCTCGCCACCACTTCAAGGTTGAAGCCCATCTCGCTGCTAAGCACAGAGATGCATCATGTTTATGAGCGTGCATGGGAGGTTATAAGCAGCCGATGGTTGAAATGATTAGAGGGTAAAATTTGAAGAATGGTCCTATTTAGGGAATAAAATTATACTTACTCCTATTTAGGAATTTCAACAATAATTTAGTCCTATTTGGGTAATTCCCCCTTGTATATTTCGGTGTATAGAATAGCGGTATATAGGACATAGTTTTGCCACATTTAATCCTCCTTGAATAATTTGATCATTATATTAAAGATTATTATATGAAGTACACTTTAGATACATATCTTTGAATGTTTTCATATCTAAGTGGGTTTAGTGCATCCAATTCTCTCGTGATATATAAATTTGACGCATTAGTTCATTGTGAATAAAATAAGTGTCCTATTTCCTTTTTCTGAAAATAAATTTGCGGTCTCACGACATTTTACTTTAATATATTTAAATCTCAACTATTACATTTACTTTTCAACATCTTTATTAAAGAATATATCAACTCAAAACATGACACATAAAATGAGACGAGGATAGTATTATTTTAGTATTTGGAAATTTTCTAAAATAGAAGTAAAATCTATTAGATTTTCCGAAATGTGATTTAATATCTTTTTTCTTATCTCTAGTAGTATTAAGTACTCTAATTCTGAGATTATATTAGGGGGTTTCACATAAATAATACTAAAAGAAAAGATACGAATTAGAACTAAAACTAGTTTTAAAAATTCCAAAATAGTGCTATATTATGTTCATACCCAATGTCATTGGAGTTCAGCTCCTCTCCATTTCTCTCTCTTCATTTTTCCTCCATTTCTTTTTACTTTCTATTTATCTCTATCTTTTTCTCTATCTAACTCACCAACCTACCACACCTTAAATTTTCCACTCTCTATCTCTCCTAATGGAACTCTCCCATCACTGGAGAGGATCCGAATTCATGTGATTGATGGACCAATAGCTAAGTCGACTCCGACACTGCAATTATCAGCCGTCATAGTGGCTCCAACGGTCCAATGATCAATAGTATAGTGACTTTAGCGCCCCAATCACAACCCATTGACTCTAGTGCCCCAATGACGTCACTGCTAAGTAACCCTGTTACGCCAATGACCAATAAAACATTAGACACTAACGAAGTCCATAGTAGAATAACTACAATTTGATAAACTGTGACCAATTTGTCATTAGAAATGTTGGAAATCCAATTTCACTTCAGAAGAACGACATTGTTACTCGTTCATTCCAAAAAAAGGTTGAATCTCTAACTCCAAAAACACTTTAAAGCCCCAATGAAAGATCACATCAAAGATTGTAAATCACGATGACTCAACCAATCTTCATTACAAGATTTACATAATTGTAAATCTTGTAAATTTTCTCCTCTCTATAGCTCTCCTAATGGAACTCTACAGTAACGGGTCACTGGGGAGGATCCAAAATCATGTGATTGATGGAACAACAACTAAGTCGACTCCGGCACTTTCAATCATCAGCCGTTAGAGTGGCTCCAACGCTCCAATGACCAATAATAATATAGTGACTTTAGCGCCCCAATCACAACCCATTGACTCTAGTGCCTCAATGATGTCACTTCTAAGTAACCTCGTTACTCAGGTGACCATTAAAATATTAGACACTAATAGGGTCCATAGTAGAATAGCTAGAATTTGATAAACCGTGACCAATTTGTCACTAGAAATGTTGGAAATCCAATTTCACTTGAGAAGCACGACATCCTTACCCGTTCATTCCAAAAAATGGTTCTATAACCCCAGAAAACACCCCAAAACCCCAACCTGACAGATCACACCAAAGATTATAAATTATGATGGCGCAACCAATCTTAACAATGATACACATTATACTCATACGTACCCAAGGCCTAGTCAAAGCTTTCTAGCGCTTTCAGTTGAGCTTCTCGTGCGGGTCCAACTAGGCATGGCTCGAGTTCGGTCCGACCGGCACGGGAACCGATCTGGTCCCGCCACTGTGTGGGACCAGATCGGGCCAGTGAACCGGTTCCGGTACGGGGCACAGGCCCGAACCGGGGGGATTAAGGGGGCAGCGGGTATGGGGTTACATAATTAGGGCCCGGCCGGTCCCAGGCTTTGTATTTTTTTTTGGGTTTGGGTTGGGTGATTTCGAGGGGTTTGGGGGATGGGGGGGTGGGAATAAATAAGGAAACCCAAAAAAAATAAAAATAAACCAGAACCAAAACCGGGCCTGGCCCGGTCCACCTCTAGGTCCAACATTCTTACCCTTTGCCCCGTCAATGTCATGCTAAATGCATTGAAAGATAGTAAAGCCTCAAAATCTCCAATTCTCTAAAATAAATATACTATGTTGGAATAGGACATTTGTAATCAATATTGTTGGTCCTAAAAGGGACACTACTCATGGGCCATTTGGGAGGCTATGACAAAACACTTGCACAGGAATTAAAGTATGTGGTAAATGTATGCAAAGTACAATAGGCTCTCGTTTTATATTAGACAGACTCACAGTAGAAATAAATAAATAAATAAATAAATAAATAAACAATAAAGAGTAATAGTTCATAAACCAAAAGTCAAGAGTAGCGCCTCTTTCCCCCAACAGAAGCAACGTTACCCAAAAAAATGGACATGTTTCATGGAGTTTTATCAAAGGGCCTCGTATCATTGTAACATATATCCCAGACCACTTGCATGGCATCCTTAGCAGCAGTTTCAGAACAATAAGGGTTAGATTTCACGGATTTCAATGCCCTTCGCCGAACACAGTCTTGCTCATGACCACCTATCTTTAAGTAACCTCGCAGCAACTCCCGCTTAAAATTGCAGTCACCACTGAGATGATTAGCTCTAATCTCACTGCACATGTGATGGGCACAGTCAGCCCAGTTCAAATTTGCTGTTTGGCATTCATCATACGCGTGGATAAGTTCATGTAGGATAACTTGGGTTACCTCATCTTGTAAGCTCAAATGGTTGCTGCATATTACTATCCCTTTGCCTTGAAGATAACCCCCACTAACCATAGCATCACATTGATTGGCCTTTATGAAATCACTGCTGATTTCACAACCAGCTTTCTTCATATGATCCATCAGAAACCTAACCTTCGGTGTTTGGAGACTCCTTTGGATCATCTTTTGGCAATCATCCACTGTCATTCCATCCTTAGATGATGAGGAACCATCAGATGCAAAACTGCCACTACTAGCTCCATCCTCCATTTTCTTTATTCCTTCCTTAGTGCAAGACGCTATTGGAACACACTTCAGATTACTCCATCTCTTCAATGAGTAGTTTACAAACTAAAGGGGGGGGGGAATCTTTTTAGTACACACTTAGTCAGTTAGTCTAATATCCAATCCAATAATATAAAAGCCAAAAATGTCATTTTAGAAACAAACTTTTTTAAAGCATCTCAATGATAGAAGATGTTAACGCTATCATATACCTCGGTACTTCCCCTGTTCTTTTTGGTTGCTCTGTGTTCTGTTTTAAAAAACTTTATCAATTCTTGCTCCATTAGTCCATTTCTATTTTTGGCAACTACCAACTTACTTTTCCCTGTTCTCTTTCATAATTTTTCATTTACTCTATCCAGCTCTTTTAATTCTCTCTAGACTAATGACTAATCACCACTCTACAGCCTTTCTTATCCCAGAGATAAACCTCTAGGTGCAACAAAAAAAGGCTTGGGGGGTACACAAATATTTTATCAAAATATATCACATTGGAGCCTGTAAACATAAACACATGTTGCCCGTTAGTTCCTCCATAAAGAGGTTTTATAAAGCCCTATTTGGGAAATTATAGAAGCTTCATCATAAGCTCCAAAAAAACTGCAGGACCAGTGGACAACTACAACTGTACGTGAACTGTGCCGAAAGAATGTACTGCATTAATACAAGAGTATTTAACCATTAATAGAATGTCAAACTAAGTAATCAAAATGCTATAAAATCTCGTCCACCAAGATTTCTTCTTACTCAGACAAACTAATCATGATTATCCTCATGGACCTCACGGCCCTCACCTAGTCTACTAGTCATGAAGCCTTGGTTGCTGACTCCCTGTTGGCTAGATATTTTTACAACATTGATTGCTCATATAAAAGCAACTTAAGTGAAAAAGAATTTTTTGATGACTTCCATTTTAGAAGAAGGTCGAATTTGTCATTTCAAAAAATAGCAAAACCTCAAACCATCAACAAATATGAACAAGGATCGGTATACTGTATACACAATGTCACTTGCAGGGACAATATGCAAATATACATCCTAACACATACTCGTAAATCCAAGGCATCTATTAAAGCTAAAACTATGAAGCTGTGTTGCTCGGAAACGTGGGAACCATTGGGAAACGTCAAACGGGAAATGTCATACTACCTCCGTTCTCTTTTAATTGCAACATTGGACTTTTTGCACTATTCATATATTCTACTTTGACTATATTTTATTAATTAATGTGTTATAAATTAAATTTAAAAAAAATATTGTTAAATTCTTCTCATTCTAAATTTTCAAAATATGAATTTTTAAAATTTTTTACTAATAAGAAATGAAAGATATTATTGGTCAAACTTGCGCGTTGGCAAACGTGAAATGTTGACCGTTGCAATTAAAAGGGAACGGAGGAAGTATATTTTAGAAAAACAACTATTTCGAGAGTTTCCGAAATGAAAACGCACTCCTTCCCGAGAGTCTCCGTAATACATAGGTATGAAACACCAACACAGCAAAGATGGGATCAGGTATGAAATGAAAAGGCTTAGACATGGCAAGGGACGTAGCCAGGACAAAACTAAAAAATATGTGAAAATGTAAACGAGTAAAGAGTTCGAACATAATGATTAAAATCTATTAAAATTCATAAAAATATTGCTAGACAATACATACTGAGTATGGTATGAGACAATAATAATATGCTAACATAAAAAAAGATAAATGTGACAATTGGGGGGACGGAAGGAGTAATGAGAAATTTACAATCCCTGATTTTCAATTTACAATTGAAATCACACAAGTAACAATTCACCTCTAACATATTTATAAATGAATAAAATAATCCTGAAGTTGTAAATGAAATTAATAAATTTAGAAAACAAACCTGACTCCTAAAAGTAAGAGATAGCCAGCGAGAGTCGATTGAGGCACTGGTTGACTGGCAGGGAAACAGGCGAGTGGCCGCAGTGGGACTATTGGGCCGTGGGCGGTACAGCCCGACGCGGTCAGCAGATCAGCTGGGCTTCCGAGAAGACGCAGGCGGCGGACAAGCCGGTGACGGTAGACGAGGCGAGTGGTGGCAAATCAAAACAGAATCAAGCTCATACTCTCGGACTTCTAAAAAACTGATTAGAAGCAAATCAGAGGCCACCACTTTTTCAAAAAAGAAAAATTATCTTTTTTTCATTCTACTCCGTAACATTTTAGTAACATATCAATGAAAACCCCTAAAACTGTACTAAAACAATGCCAAAATTAGTGCTTCCAACTAGACAATATTTTGGCTTTTTTGCTTTCAATAGTCCAAGTAATAAAGCTGCATGGATCCAGCCTTGCAGTCGGACTCGTTCGGAAAAGAGAGTGTTTGCAATAACTTAAAAAAAGCACTTCTTAACTTTTGGCGTAAAAAAGCACTTACTTACCAAACACTATCAATTTCTACTTTTTCTCGGCTTGCGTGTGAAAAGTGATTTTCCCTTTTCTATTACACAAAAAGTACTTATTTTACCGAACACTATCAGCTTTTACTTTTCAAAATCACTTTTTTCTGAAACACTATCAACTTTTACTACTTATCACTTTTTCCCAATCATTCCAAAAATGCTTTTTTTAGCAGAAGCAGTTGCAAACACTCCCTTAGTGTATTTTGAAACCGAATAAGGCGGTTTCGGCCCGATTTCAATCCCAAAAATCAATTTTTTTTTTAAATTTTTTTGAAACCGAAGAAGGGGGCTTAAAGTCATTGGAACGACTATAAGTGGCTATTCCACCGTTGGGCCGCTGGGGTTGGTGTTTGAGGGGTTTGGGGGTGGTGCCTTTTAAACACTATAAATAGTCCCATTTTCATAATTTTTTCACACTATAATAATTATAAATATGACGAGGATTAGAATTTGAGAGTAGAATTTCTATGGCCAACTGTCATAGTGACGTGCTACCAATTTTTTACTCGGACGGCTTTAGTGACCACCGGTGCCTATGAAACCAATGACCACAGCCCCCGCCCCCCGGTGAACCGCGGACGACAATGACCTCTCATTGTACAACCCTACATTCACCCCTCTCTAGTGACTTCCCCCACCCTTGCTCATCGCCCATGCCCCTGTCACTCCCCCACCCTTGCCCTCGTGCCACTAACCAAACCCACATGCTATCCGAAGCCCCAACACTGCCCAAGGAGCCAACAAAATTGAGACATGTGAAGAATTATACTATGCTCAGCCACAAAGTCATCGTCGACTCCTACATCTGGTGGCAATTTGCAAACAAAAAAGGAGAAGAGAAGATGATTGCAGCGGCAATCATATCATAGCCGCCGCCGCTTTTCGAAGTTGTCATCGTTAATCATCAAATATTAAACAATAATACATTTATAACATTACACTTATCATCAATAACTCATTTTATTATATACTCATCAAAATTATTTCTCAAAATATATTCGAATTAGCATATTTAATTACTGTCTAAATATCGTGCCATTTTGCCATGAGAACCTTATATGGGACGAAGGTAGTATATTTTATTAATAAAATAAAGAAAATATTATATGAAAAATAGTTAAAATTAGCTTCTACAATAATATCAGTAAATACAGCTAGAAAAATAATTTCAAAATTACTTTTTCTTATTATTACATAATTCAGAGCACGAAATCAAAAGTTAAGTATTTGATGAAAATTTGACTCATAAGTCTGATAACCGAAAAACATAATCACCAAACGGGTTCTTAATGTTTCAAATAAATTTTGACATTTCATTTTTAATGTGTATAGTTTTTATTTGTTTTAATATTTTTCGGGACCGGTCGATTACTTATAACTAGACCGGGAACCGTAATACCCACGTCAGGCCCGAGCTTCAATGTTTTTTGACCGGGACCCGTCGATCCGAGACTGGAACCACGGCCGAGTCCATGCCCAAGTCCAAATCAACAATTCATTTACCAAACATTTTTTTTCCCCGAGTCAAAACCAAGCATATATTTTAAACTTATTTGACTAGTGAAATGGCATAAATTCATCAAACATGTACTTCATCCATCCCAATATTATCTTCAGACTTTCTTTTTCGTCCGTCCCAAAATTATTTCTTTTTTCCCTCATTTGACAAAGAATCTCTAATTTACAATAATTCTTACACATTTTTACATATTTATCACACCCCTGCACAATTCTCCACCACACAATACTCACTATCTTAAACTGTGTGTCAATTATACTTCAGGAGAATAGGAGATAAATATGGGATAGAGGGAGTACTACGTAAGAACTATTTGCCAAACATAATTTAATACGAAGTACATTTTAGTATTTTACTACATTCATATCTCCTTTGAAGATACAAAAAAAAAAAAAAACCAAAGCTATCTCATCTCACACTTCCCCTTGTACCGTTCCATCTTGTTTGACTCTTGTATGAATCTCCTTCGGGTTGACATGATTAAAGCTAAGATAAACAAGACATGTAACATTCATCCGTATATTGCATGATTGCATCTGAATATCCGGTATAGACATGGAGTGAAAGGGATGAAACCACTAACCGTAGGTTTATAATGACAAAAAGGTTCTCAGAGTTAATTAAATTCATTACTTAGACTCACCTGAATTCTCAACCAAAGCATTAACTCTGCCTAAGAATATAATGTCCAATCGAACAAGTACAAAACAAGAAAATCTGTTAATGTGCATCCACACCTAACTACTAATCAAAGGTGTGATCTACCGACTATGTACGTAATATTATGTTGTCTCTCTTTGCGTTTTCCATTTAGATTATAGGTTTGGAGCATTGCAATCACAAGTAATAAACATTCCCTTGGAGGTTTAAAAAGCACCCCAAGGGCAGAGAGACACTGATATCTATCTCTTCATCTCTGCAGATAAGCAGAACCATTTATTCTGTACTATAGAACGAATTGTCACTGTTCTCATCACCCATACTACATATTCTATCCTTCTCCACCTCCCACTTAACCACTTCACCAACATACCTGAATGCTTCATCCACTGAGGAACGTTCCCGAGCTATACTTGGCCACACAAATAGCTTTCTTCCAGTGATGGAAGAATACAATTCCTTGAACTTATGAGCTACATAGTGATATGCGTAATTTGCTAGGGACTGATTGTAGTGGCGGGTTTTCAAAGGTCTGAACTCTTTAAACCACTCGCAGACCACAAGAGGGACTTTTCTAATTTTATCCTCAAAGACATCATACTTGTTTAGGACAAGCACAAAAGTGACGTTCTTAAAGCATTTGTGTCGAACCAAACTCTCAAACAAATCTCTGTTCACCAACATTTTATTTTGTGGTGGGCCATGACCAAGGGACCAGATCTCATCATAGTCACTTAATGCTACAGAGAAGACTACCGCTGTCACGTCTTCAAACATATCCATCCATTTGCCAGAATCATGCGGTCCCTTGGAACTAACACGAATCAGCTGGTACCTATGTAAGATGGGACACACACTTCAGAACTTTAAACTGCTAGGGTGATGATAATTGTAACAATAAGAAAACTGTTTTTCTGCATCCAATTTGTACAACACACAAGGAAAGACAATACTATGTGTTATTTTATGTTTGAGAATAAAAAACTATTGCCTTCTGAATTGTGAAGAGGATTTTTATAATTGTTTTTTGTTGTCACAGGCATTAAATCACACATATGTGATATGTGAAGAAAAATCTTATGTTTGTGAACAGAAATCTTACAACTAGTAGAGCAGCAAACAAAGATCCATACCTGTTTAGTGGCATTTGGCATTCAGTGTCCTCATCATATACATTTGATTTAGCACTATGATCATCGAAAGAGAACTCAATGAAGGCAAGTCCATTGTTAGGGGTCACCCCTTCAGCATATAGAATATCCTCTTCTGAAGGCTCATAATCATTACTTGAAATCTTAATGACCTGTTGGTGGAAATCAAATCGCCTTAATTACTTGGAATACAGATACCACAACAAAATACCAGAACAGACACTAATATGAATCTTAACATTTAACAGCAGTTTCCATGCAGTATAACCCTAAGAGAGCCATATGAATAGAACAACAACATTACCCCAGTTCCGCAAAGGCTCCCACCTGCGGTGGTGTAAGGAGGGGTTAGATGTACGGAGCCTTACCTCTGTACTAAAGCACAGAGAGACTGTTTCCGGTTGACCCATGATGAAAATCGCATCGAAAATTGTATGGACTGACTGCTGCTTCATAACAAAGAAGCTCAGACAGTTCAGTGAGCCATTTTGCTTAATTCCATCATATTCCAAAGCCATAAAATAGCGAGTTTTTGTCTCCATTGGAAATGACTAATATAAGAGAGCCATGAGTAAATGAAAAAAAAAACACGGGGCAGGCTTATTCAAGGAGAGAATAACAGGTTACACGGATGAGGGGAAAGGACATGACAGTTTACAGGGGTCTTACCATATTACCAACAAAACTCAAGCACACTGCAGCAAACTCCTCCCCATTCCCATCTGGAAATGGAGGAGTGGTGGAGCATCTAGTTAACAAATATCACATCTATACTTGATGCCCAATAGTGTGTATAGATAGATGTCCATTATACAAACCGTAAAAGAATACAGTTAATCTTACCTGGTCCAAAAAATACTTGGCAGTATCAGGAAGAGAATGCAATTCGCTTCTCCTCTTATAAGTTTCCTGAATAGCTGGATCTTTCCATATCTCATCTACCAGGGGAGAATATTCACGCGCTGCAGCAGGGAAATAGGTACTCAAATCTCCAGAAGCTATGATATGCAGCAGCCAGTCAGAAAACTGCTTCAGCCTTGGATTGAGGGAAAAGATGCATAGCTTACTTTCATCAGTTCTTATTTCACCTGAAATGTACATGGATCGTGAACTACTATACAAATCAGCAGCCACAAACAAATACTCCCTCCATTCTGAAATAATTGTAGATTGAGGTTATGTTGCTGTTGTGAATAATTTTCTCATAAACTGACATATGGAGGGAAATGTAATTACTTTACTATTTTGGTGAACAATGTAACTTTTGTTCACGGACAGTTATTTAAGAATGGAAGAAGTTTATATATGACAACAGGAGGGAGTGGAGGGTAATGATTGAAAAAAAACGAGAAATACTATAACGTTTTCCATTAGATTGAAAAACCATGATATGCAAATGCAATATAGGGAACGATTCTAGCCAAATGTTCTCAAGAATTTGAACGATGTTAAGATGTTTACTTATAATAGTTCTTTTCTTATCACCAAAACAAATTAAATAACCTTCACTTTAAAGACAAAAAAATATGTAACACTCATAATAGAGATAGAGGATAAAACATAGCATAAAAGAAAGATTTTTATTTTTAAAACCTCGTGAAAGATTTAAAATTTGCAAAGAGGATGTCCTCTTCTCCTTTAAGGCTTCCTCTTCAAAGCGCTCTCGACCCTCGAGTAAGATGCCGAGGTATCTATACATGCTGCTTTGAATCAGGAGCTTTATGTTTTGCACCTCATCCTCCGTGGGCTCATTTCCATAAATAAACTTCATCTGTGTTCCATTGAAAAAATTGAAGTTCAATTCGTTAAGGATCAGAACAGGGTAGAAGTAACTGAAAAGGAAGTATGAAAACACATGCTTTAGATGAATACACACAAAAGTGTAGGGAAAAAAAGTAATTTAGGCCCCTCTTTGGTTTCTGTAGCAATTTTGATCGGCACTAAGCCCATTCTAATTTGCAACTGTTATTGATAATTTGACAAGATATATCCAATAATGAGGTGTCATTGTTACATGAGCTTTAGCTGACAAACTCTTAGAGGATAGTGTATCCACATTTTGGAAAGTTTTAGGACACTCTAAAGAATGCTTCAACTGTTATCATTTAAAATGGTGCTTCCTGTGTTTCCCGTCTCCCGTGTAACACAGAAACAAAGAAAGTGAACAACTGAATGAAAAGCAAACTCGACAGTGTATCCAAACTCTGAAAACTGAAAACTATAAATATGCCATACTTGCTTAAAGAGAGTGCTTGTCCCAGACCCCTCCAGCCCAAAAAGCAGAAGTTTCTGACACCTGATATTTTCCATAGACACAGGCACAGACCTCCCAGATAAAGTAGTTGTGTCCTCTTTTGGCCCTCGAGTATTTGAAAGGGGTATGGGTATTGACCACAACGAACATACGAAACGAGTTAATGCCTGCCTAACAAGAAACCCAACTGCAAATAATCACATATCTATATAACCATCATATAAATTAAAAGCTGAAACTCAATAACATAACTACTTTAGAAAGGATTACAATACAACCTTCTCCCATATGTTTCCTTTAATGTTGTTTTGACCTTCTTCCTCATACGAACCATCATCGTATACCCAAAAATGAGTATCTCTAGGGCAATCTACTTTGGCTACCTGGAAGAAAAAGAAAGAGATAATAAAGAGGGGGGGAGAGAGAGAGAGAAGATAAGGTGGTGAGCTCAAGCTAGAATTGAATTGCAGCATGCAAAACTAATATTTAAAAAAAAAAAAACTTCTCGGGTTTTGTTAAACATTGAAACGCAAACTCTGCAAGGGACAGGGATCAGTGGTGATGCTGTGTTATTTAGCCACACATTGAAAAAAAACTTATCCTCATGACCTCATCTTATTTAGACAAACTTTTATTCTTTGTTCTTGAATCTTTTTAGCCAAACTGAATTACATGGAAATTCTTGATTCAATAAAAAACACAATTGCATAATTCTGTAATGAACTTCCTTCCTGGTAGTTGCGTAGCTGTTGAGTGTAAATGGGCACAATCAAAGAGTATAATGATGAACAGGAGCATCATGAAATCCATTAAAATACCTTCAGTACTTTAAGTTCAACTTTTGTTATTTCACGGCCATTCATGTAAACATTGGTGTTTCCATTACTTGCATCTAGCTGAAGCTTCCCTCCTACATTTAGTTTAGAGCTTATAAACCTATCTGGCTTCTTGCCTTCCTGTCCATCCAAAAGAATCACAATGATCTCAAAAGTTTTCAAAGCTATAACAAACACACTAGAAGTTCTGCCCCTATAGCAAAATTAGTGCTGAGAATACCAAAGTAATGAAAACAAAATTCAGTTATGATCACCTTGCCCCAAAGTCCAGAATCCTTGTCATACCAATACTTCCCAGCTTTCAATTTCTCCGGAGGCATTACACATCCAAGCAATTGAGCCAATTCCTCCTGCCTCAACTGCCTTCCGTTTACCCAGACCTGCTCAGGCCGAATTTGATTGGCAGAACATTCTCTCTCCGCAATCATTATCTGTTTGACTTCCAATGGACTGCACACTTTTGCTAATGAACGGGTAACCATTCCCAACCTCTCTCTATTAGCCTCGTTAATTGGCAGGCCAATGCAGCCGAGGCATTTCCTCCCCTCGGGCATGGACCCCATAGCCTTGAGTACACAGTTCTTACAGTATCCTGCATCGCACACAATGCACACCTCTCTCTCCCTAATCTTCTTCCCACACCTACTACAAATCGTTGCCTTAGCCCTAAACCACAGGTCACCCTTTCGCCCTCCAATTTTCTCCACTCGACAGCCTTGGTCATCCGCTTCAGATGGTAGCGGAGAAATCCCCTTACTCCCATCTCCATCATCGTCCGTGCGATCATCGTCCGTTCCAGCCTCAAAACTGACAGGATTCACACTACCGGTTTCAAAGTCGGAGACGGAAATGGCTTCTTGAGTCTCAGAGTGCGAGCTGAAGCTGAATTGAATCTTGGAAGCGGGAGACGAGCTTCCGCTGCTGCATTTCTTCTTGCGCAAAGGAAACCTGGAGAGAATATCCCGGAATTTGGGAGGTTTGGGGGATTGGAGAGACGGTGGAGGTTTGAGGGTGGGAACGTCCTTGAAGCAGAAATCCGAGGGGGCGTGGTACTCGACAGAGATGGAGTAGTCAAGATGATCCTCGTCCGGCAAGGGTGCGCCGGAAGGCAGCATCCTCCGCAGAAGATCTTCCCAAGCCGTTGACTGGGAGTCCGCGTCTGTCATCTGATCGGGAAGCTAGCAGCGACCAGAGAAAGGTGAATGAGATGCGATTATGATCATAAAAAAAGAGCGTTGAGAATGGAGTTCTAGAAATTAAAGTTGTTGCAAAGTATGATCGATCATAGCTAAAGAAGGAAGTCAGTGTCTGGCCAGTCTGGGTAAACTAGCTAATTCATGATATAATAATTGATTAATTAATTTTTTTATTAATAATTAAAATTCAAAATCAAAAAATCAAAAATGTTGAAATAATAAAGCATGACCTAATTCGTTGTTATAATTAAAGCATTACGAATTGTCCCCCCAAAAAAAGCATTACCTAATCAACCCAACACGATTGGATATTTGATTTTTTGGTTACACAAGAGTGTTGTTATACGGTACATGTACAACAGGAAAATCATTTCTTAACCTATCTTAATAAAGGTCACTTTTTCTTATTAAATGCTCATTAGTTCTACAAGTTACGCTATAAGGTGTGGTACCATGTGATGTTGGAGTATCTCATACAACTGTGGTTCCAAATTTTAGAGTTCTCCGTCCAATTCATAGCTAACGGTGTTAAGTTCATTTACACACCGTCAAACACTTATATTGTCTATCTATCTATTAAGACTATCTGCTATATCGTCTCTTCATCTACTTGAGCTTTACATTTTTCCAGCCAGAGCATGAATCCTTCCTCTCCTCCGTTCATAAAGTGTTAAGTGTGGCATTTGTTATCAATTCATTAATTATGAATTTTACATTTAGTTGGATTTTCACCTTTCTCTCGACCAGATATATAATGAGATTTCAATTTCCATTTACCCCCTTCTCACATCGTTGCAATCTTTTAGGTATGTTATGTTATGTTCTCCTTCTCCTTTACTTAACATGAGTTAAGTATTACATTTGTAATTTTTCATCCTTATATATTATTCCCCTGGTATTACATTGTACTGCAATGTTTGAGTTTCACGTAGATGAGCTTGAGATTCTTCTGTCTTTTTAATCTATAAAACCAAAAAAACTCTCACTTTTTATGTCTTTTGTTGTTTGCTTTTTGCTACGTTTTTTTCTTCATGTTTTCTATTACTTAACACATCGATTTGTTGTGAGAGAAAACTAAAAACACACTATGACCAGCACATGTTCGATATTATGTCAATTAAGATTATTAAACCGCTCTTGTCTTGTAGTTCTGTATTTTTTGCAGCGTTATTACCTGCACTTTTGTTGCATTCTCCTGCACTTTTTGTTGCATTTTTCCCTGCTTATTTTATATTAATCAAGACATCAATTGTGTAATGGTCTTCACAAGTTCATATGAAACGACTCTAAAAGCATATTAGGTATTCATTAATATGTTCATGTTATTTCATTGCACTAGCCTTTAATTTGTGCGTGTTTTGCTCCGTTTTTTACTACACTTTTTCATCGCTATTGCTGCATTTTTCTTGCATTTTTTTCTACATAATATATATTGATATATTGATTAAGACTTGGATTTTGATAAAATGTTCTCCAAAAGTTCATATGAAAGGAAACTAAAAGCACCCTAGGTTATATTAGTGCACATGCCTTCAAGCTCTGTGTTCTTTGGTGCTTTTTTCTCCACTTTTTGCAACGTTGTTTTTGTGTGTGCTTTCTGTGTTTTTTACTGCGCTTTTTGATGCACAATTGTTGTGTTTTTCTTTGAGTTCCCCGCTACACATGCCTTTGAGTCCTGCATTTTGTTTTGTGTTTTTACTGCACTTTTTTCCTCGTTATTTCTACATTTTACTGCACTTTTGGTGCTTTATTGCTGTGTTTTTCCCCTTGCATCCCCCCTACATATTTCATATTGATTAACACTTGGGTTGTGATTAAATGGTCTCAACAAGTCATATGAAAGGAAACTAAAACCACTTTTTCTTATGTCATTGCACATACCTGCAAATATGTCTTGCGTTTTTGTACATTTTAACTCTACTTTTAGACGTGTTATTTTTGCATTTTTTATGCGTTTTTTACTCCACGATTTCTGCATTTTCCCCTGCATTCCCCCCTACATATTTCATATAGATTAACACTTGGATTGTGATTTTTTCTGCATTTTTCCATCACTGTCCTTGTATATTTTATATTTGTCAAGACTTGGGGTTTTTCTTGCGCTTTTGTGCATTTTTACTGCACTTTTAACCGCGTAATTTGTGCATTTTTCCTGCATTTTTTACTCCACTATTGCTGCATTTTTTTCTGCATTTTCCCCCACATTCCCCCCAACATATTCCATATATATTAACACTTGGGTGGTGATTTTTTCCTGCACCTTTTGTTGCTTTTTCCCTGCATTTTTTCTTCATTGTCCCCGCAAGTTCATATGAAATAGAGACTAAAACTTCCTTAGGTTATATCATTACACTTGCTTTCCAGTTATGCATTTTTACTGCGTTTTAACTACACTTTTTGCTGAATCTTTTTACTGCACTTTTTTGCTGCGTTTTTCAAGGATACTGTATATTAACCTAGACTTCAATTGTCATATCACACAACATATCAAATAATTCTCATTTTTTACTTTTTCTTTTCAAAATTGTCATGATATTTTTTCAGATATACTATGGCTCCCGTAATATTGTGGTATATAGCTCATAAAATTAACATTTTCATGGACACTTATGTTGATCACATTTTACGCAATTCACTGAAGTTGAGAGTTGGGCATATTACATACGTGTAACGCGCGAGCAATTTACTAGTTATTACTATACAATGTGAAAGAAATATTACTGCAATAACCATCACTGCCCAATGCAAATGTCAATGACCAAATGAGCCTATATTCTCTATTTAATAAAGAGAAATTGCCCAAAATAAGAGTAAATGAGATTTGGAAACTACTATGTTTTTCCATAGTAAATGAGAGTTGTTACTGGCTTACTGGCATGTATGAAAAATTTTAATATTGCAATGATTGAAAAATACTACCATTAATTATAATAAATATTGTCATATTAAATGCACTGTACTGCAACTATTTAGCAGTCACGCCTACAAGATGACAGTGAATACTGTCATGTTAGTCCTATTTCAGGAATAAAGACTTAGTAGTCGTATTTTGAAATTCCAAACTCCATTTACTCTTATTTTGGGAAATCTCCCTTTAACAAATACATTTAAATGATTATTGACACTTCCTTTGAAAAAAGAAATCTTAACTTTTTTGCTTAAAAACTAAGAGTATGACTGTATTTATCTATACTTCTATTATATTAATGTAATTTTTTTGGATGTTATATTAATGTAAATTTGTAAATCTAAAAGACCTATATTAAATGCCTGTATCTATGCCTCCTCTATTGTCATGTGTTGTTTTAATTAAAATACTCGATAAGTTTATTTAAAAATATTATTAAATCACTGTTATATTAAAATTTAATAATTGATAACTATTAAATGGTATCTAGCAAAAGCACTCATTGTACAAAAATAAAGATACAATGAGATCTTTTCAGTTAATATTTGTGAACAATGATCATTAATTATTAAAAAATCATTAATTACTAAAAATGTATAACATAAAAAATATGCTTGAGTAACTTATTTGAATAATTCTTTTAGAAATAATAGTTCAACAAAGGTTGTTAAATAATATGTATATTTAAAAATAATCTTGGTAGCAAACAATCAATATTGAAGACAATGAAACTCATAATTTTTTTTATATTTTGGACAACTCACAACTTGTATGTGCCAACTCACTTATCCTGCAACCCGTGTTGGTTGACCCATGAAACCGGTGAGTTCATTGAGATAAAAAAAAATCATAATTCTAACTCATCATGAAATGGACTAGCCCTGTGGACTTTGACTAATTTTGACAACTCTATCCATACTCCAATTGACTCTCTTTTAAATTCTGATTAACGAATTCACATACAATTCACTGTCCTACAATTCAAGAAAAACTTTAAACACATAGTTTACCGCATAGTGCACGGGTACACACACTAGTATGTATAAATAGAGAATCTTCTACTGATAGCACAATCCTTCTCATATATGTAGTATTTGATTTGATTATACTAGGTTTAACTTTAAATTCCCTTCAAATATGTATTTTCATAAAAAAAAATATTAATCGCAACACACATTAAATATATTTATAATATATTATCTTACAACTCATGTAACTTCTAAAACCTCATACGTTTTTGTCAACAATTTTGAATAGAAATTAAGTTTAGATTTTTTTGGGATTAATTTCTAATTAGTAATTCATATTTGGGGGATTTGCTAAATATGAGTAACATTAATGTCAAATTCCAAAATAGGAGTAAGTATACATCTTCCTAAATGGGAGTAAGTTACAATCATAATAAAATTATACTATCATATTTTGATATTATCATACATTAATATGACATTTGTAATATCGATATTTAAGAATACCACATTGTTTTTATTCTTATTTAAGGACACTTTTTGTTCACATATATTTTAAAAAAGTCAAGATTGTGGTATATTTAAAATTAAAGTATTATATTGTCCAATAGAAATTGTAACTTGATACACAAGTCAAAATAAAGTTATTTCACTAATGAGAAAATGACGGACAAATTTGTACTCTCATATGCGCTTGAATGACTTTTCATATCTATATTATTTAGGCATGAAAAAATACGTATTGTTTCTGGTAGTTTTGTTTACCTTCAAGCCTCAGAGAGCCTATCAATAAAACATTAAAAATTTTAACTTGAGTATAAAAAAACATCTTCGTGTTATGCAGAGTATTATCTAACAATTTTATAGAACAATCTTTACACAATATATGTGAATCAATATTACTCTTCTAAAATTAGATTAGATGATTAACAACATCACATCTTGCGCAATGCATAGATAAATAATTACCCTCTTTTTTGTGTAAATCATGAATGACTAATTTCTATTATTAGAATTATTAAAAAAATGAACTTCTATTGTTGAACTTGTGACATGTATTTCTACATACAATTAAATCAATGAACTTCTATTGTTGAACATTGATGAATAACATTATCTCAATACAAAAATAGGTCTAAAGAAATACGTAAACTTTTTGTTTGTTTAATAATTTAGAATTTATGTTCCATATTTTTAAAGGTTTAAAAGAATATTATTTACAAAAACATGATTAAAAGCTA